GTGTGTGTGTGTGTGTGTGTGTGTGTGTGTGTGTGTGTGTGTGTGTGGTGGTGATGGGTTACTGAAAACTCCATTGGGGTTTTTGACCAATGAAGTCACCATGGTATCAGCCACAGACACAATTCAGAATTACGGCAACTGGCAGAAGTAGCTATTGAGACAAGAGGAGAAACTTGCTCAAAGAATGGTTTAGGTGTGGAAAGCACTATCTGAGAGTGGGGGTAGGCAGCTTCAATCGAGAGTATCAAGAGGGAACTGGATCATTATCTGAAAAGGAAGAATGTGCAGGGTTACAGAGAGAAGACAGTTTATGAGATATTGAATACATGATCAGGGATGTAATGATGGAAATAGCAGACGCAGGGTTAGGTCACAGCTGGGCTTGTGTGCTCTGGCCACCAAGTTCCAGGAAGGACAAAATTGCTGTGGAGAGGGTACAGAGGAGATTTACAACCAGAGTGTGAAAACTGCAGCAATGAGGGAAGATTGGAGATGCTGGGGCTGTTTTCCTTAGAACAGAGAAGGCTGAGGGCTTAATTAACTGGGGTGTTTAAAATAATTAGGGGATTTGGAAAACTTGTTCCACCTACAAGAAAGTTCAACTACCAGGAGGCACAGGGGGCTGACTAATATGAGGAGACATAAGGAAAAGCTTTTACACCCAAAGGGTGGCAGGTTCCTGGAATCCATTATCCTGTTTAATGGTTGAGACAGAAACTCTCCACTAATTTGGATCTACACCTGAAGCGGTGTAACCTGTAAGGCTGTGCACCATATGGTATCAGAGTGATTGCCTTATTTACTCAGCCAACATAGACACGACAGGCTGTATGCCTCTTTCTACGCTCTAACTTTCCCATGGTTCTATGTCAGGGCAGCGACACCAGGTGAACTGTTCGCTGGTCAAGTCAGCACGGAAATGACATATCTGTGAATTGATGGGCAATCACATCCCTCAATGGCCAGAGGAATTTAGGACACAGGAAGGACATTTGGTTGGTTTGAAGACTTCCTTTGGTGGAGAAGTGGGAAGAGGTGAGGAGCCCGACAGCATGAGGCCTTCTCTACCGAGTGCTGTGTCCAAAGCCAGAGTGAAGCTAGCAAACACTGCTTTAGGCTGAGGAATGGCAAGTGTCTCACCTCGGGTTGGAAGCAGTTCAGAGCAGGTTTATCCGACTAATACCTGCAATAAATGGATGGCTTTATGAGGAAAGGTTAGCCGGGCTAGCCTGTATGCTCTGGAGTTTATAAGAGTTAGAAGTGACTTAATTGAAACATTTAAGATCCTGAGGGGACTTGACCGAGTGGATGTGGAAAGGATGTTTCCTCTTGTGGGAGAATCTAGAACTTGGGATTAAAATAGAGGTTTGCCCATTTAAGACAGAGATGAGGAGATATTTTTCTCTCGCAGGGTTGACGGTCTTTGGAATTCCCTTCCCGAAAAGGCAGTGGGTGCAGAATCTTTAAATATTTAAGGAAGAGGTAGATAGATTCTTGATTATGAAGAAGATGAAAGATTATCATGGGATGCAGGAATGTTGAGTTGAGGTTAAAATTAGATCAGCCATGGTCCTACTGAATGGCAGAGCAGGGCTGAAGGGCCAAGTGGTCTCTTCTTATTCCTTGTTTATAGATATTGGCTCAGGCAAGGGCCATTGCACTTTTAAGGGAGCAGTAGAGGAAGATTTCAAACACGAGCCATGTGGAGAAAGGAGGAGTGGGTAACAAAGAAGAATTCATGTTCACATGATCAATTTTTGGTTTGTTCTAGCAGGGAATCAGCACAGACAGGATGGGCCAAATGGCCCACACCAGGGTAAGGAGTGGAAACATAATTTCATCAACTCCAGCTCACTCTTCACTCAAAACACTGCTGTTGCTGGAAGAGATTAGAACCTCACACGGTCCATGCATTTATCCAGCAGTTTTACTAGTGCTTTACAGGAAAAGTCTAGAAAACAGACAGCCAGCACGGGATGAGGACAGACTGGACAAGATACCTGAAGTTTGGATGGAGTGGTTGGCTTCTCGGAGGGTGAGGTGAACAGACGGAAAGGTTTGGGGAAAGAGAACAAAGACTCCTGCCAACAATGCTGGAATTGGCGGGGGGGGGGGGGGGGGGGG